AGACAGACAGATTTGTCGGCCCCGTTAGCACCTTCGCGAGCTGACCCTGACAGCAGTGTCATGGCAGGAGACCCCCACTAAAACGTCCATATCGAAGATCGAGGGACAAAACCCCCAACCGATCTCGTCAGGTATGGTGCAGCGTCCGGATCCCACCCGCCGATGGCCCCCACATATCACGCTCTCCTTCCTCCACCGAACCAGGATTCCTGAGAGAAGTCAAGCAAGACCAACTATGACCAGCAGCTTGTCACAACTCCCTCGGCACGCCCCCCTAACACCCCAATGTTCTTCCCTGCTCCGCCATGGTCACGCCAATGCCAAGTTTTGACATTCGAGACAGACAGATTTGTCGGCCCCGTTAGCACCTTCGCGGGCTGGCCCTTAGAGCAGTGTCAGGGCAGGAGACCCCCACAAAAACCTCCATATCGAAGATCGAGGGGCAGAACCCCCGATCGGTCTCGTACGGCATGGTGCAGCGTCCGGATCCCACCCACCGATGACCCCTACATATCACGCTCTCCTTCCTCCACCGAACCCGGATTCCGGACAGAAGTCAAGTGAGACCAGCTATGACCAGGAGCTTGTCCAAGCTCCCTCGGCACGCCCCCCTAACAGCCCAGTGTTCTTCCCTGCTCCGCCATGGTCACACCAACGCCAAGTTTTGGCATTCGAGACAGACAAATTTGTTGGCCCCGTTAGCACCTTCACGGGCTGACCCTTAGAGCAGTGTCAGGGCAGGAGACCCCCGCAAAAACCTCCATATCGAAGATCGAGGGGCAGAACCCCCGATCGGTCTCGTAAGGCATGGTGCAGCGTCCGAATCCCACCCACCGATGGCCCCCACATATCACGCTCTCCTTCCTCCACCGAACCAGGATTCCGGACAGAAGTCAAGTGAGACCAGCTATGACCAGGAGCTTGTCACAGCTCCCTCGGCATGCCCCCGTAACAGCCCAGTGTTCTTCCCTGCTCCGCCATGGTCACGGCAACGGCAAGTTTTGGCAGTCGAGACAGACAGATTTGTCGGCCCCGTTAGCACCTTCGCGGGTTGACCCTGACAGTAGTGTCAGGGCAGGAGACCCCCGCTAAAACCTCCATATCGAAGATGGAGGGGCAGAACCCCCGATCGGTCTCGTAAGGCATGGTGCAGCGTCCGGATCCCACCCACCGATGGCCCCCACATATCACGCTCTCCTTCCTCCACCGAACCAAGATTCCTGACAGAAGTCGAGTGAGACCAGCTATGACCAGGAGCTTGTCACATCTCCCTCGGCACGCCCCCCTAACACCCGAGTGTTCTTCCCTGCTCCGCCATGGTCACGCAAGCGCCAAGTTTTGGCAGTCGAGACAGACAGATTTGTCGGCCCCGTTAGCACCTTCGCGGGCTGACCCTGACAGCAGTGCCAGAGCAGGAGAGCCCCGCTAAAACCTCCATATCGAAGATTGAGGGGCAGGTTTCCCGATCGGTCTCGTCAGGTATGGTGCAGCGTACGGATCCCAGCCGCTGGTGGCCCCCTCATATCACGCTCTCCTTCCTCCACTGAACCAGGATTCGTGACAGAAGTGAAGTGAGACCAGCTATGACCAGGAGCCTGTCACAGCTGCCTCGGCATGCCCCCCTAACACCTCAGTGTTCTTCCCTGCTCCGCCATGGTCACGCCAGCGCCAAGTTTTGGCAATCGAGACAAACAGATTTGTCAGCCCCGTTAGCACCTTCGCGGGCTAACCCTGACAGCAGTGCCAGGGCAGGAGACCCCCGCTAAAACATCAATATCGAAGATCGAGGGACAGAACCCCCGATTGGTCTCGTGAGGTATGGTGCAGCGTCCGGATCCCACCCGCCGATGGCCCCCAGATATCACGCTCTCCTTCCTCCACCAAACTAGGATTCCTGACAGAAGTCAAGTGAGACCAGCTATGACCAGGAACTTGTCACAGCTCCCTCGGCACGCCCCCCTAGCACCCCAGTGTTCTTGCCTGCTCCGCCATGGTCACGCCAGCGCGAAGTTTTTGCAGTCGAGACAGACAGATTTGTCGGCCCCGTTAGCACCTTCGCGGGCTGATCCTGACAGCATTGTTAGGGCAGGAGACCCCCGCTAAAACCTTCATATCGAAGATCGAGGGGCAGAACCTCCGATCGGTCTTGTCATCTATGGTGCAGCGTCCGGATCCCACCCGCCGATGGCCCCCACATATCACGCTCTCCTTCCTCCACCGAACCAGGATTCCTGACAGAAGTCAAGTGA